AATTAAAATTAATATTATTAAAATTTTAAAAAAATATTTAATATTATAAAATATTATACAAAAATAGTATTATAAAAATATTATATTATTTTTTTTTTAAAAAATAAAATAAGATTTTGTTTTTATCTTTATTAATAATTTGTTATGATTAACTATATAATTTAACATAGACCAGAGCCAATTTACAAATTATTTACAAGAATGAGACTCAGACTATAGATGAAATTATTATCTAATTTATCTAATTTATCTACTTAAAGCTACTAAAGTAGTTAAAACTTATCTAGATTTGATAATCTAAAATATGATTAGTAGAGATATAATAGTTTATCTATTTAGATAACTATTTAGCTAGTTTTTTATTAGCTTATTTTTGTAATAGGAAATATAAGAATTATAAAAATCTTTTATATATTGTTGATCAGAAAGACTACAAGTGCAACTGTAGGTATATGCTATTTTGGCTTGTATTATTAGTCTAAATATGCTTATATAATTTGTTTATTAATTACAAGATAGTTAGTTAGAAATATTGTTTTGTTATTTTTATTTAAATAGTTTAATAAAATAAGTAAGATTTTCAAATTTGGTTGTAAATATTTTGTAATATTTGAATTAAGAATTTTATTGTAGTGTTAGTTACTAGCTAATTGCTAATTGTGTATTTTCATATAGTATTAATTAATTAATTGGTAAGTTTATTGTATAGTTCTTGTATTTGTACAGTTATTATATTTAATTATGAATAATTAGTAATAATAGAGTAAAGTATAAATGAGTTTGAAATAGAAATATGAATAGAAATATGAATAGAGATATAAATAAGAATATGAATAAAGATATAGATAGGAATAGTAATAGAATTAGAGTTAGGAATAAAATTAAAGTTAGGAATAAAATTAGAGTTATATACCAAAAAAGCTAATTTTTTAGAGCTGACTAATTAGATTGCAGATAAATATTTTTATATAAACTTCTTATATATGACATATAAGCAAATTTTATTAGTCAAAAATGAGATTATATAGTAAAATATAAGTCAAAATTTAATTAGTTAGAATTTTGTTTACATTGTAGCATTAGAGTTAGGGTTAGTATTACCAAAGAGCTAGCAGTTTAAGATCGATTTTGTTCTTATTAGGACTCTTCAGTTAGATATAGCTTATACTTAAAAAATTTAAAGAAATAATAAGTTCAGACAAGTTATCTCTATTTATAATCTTAAAATTTTAGAAGCTCACAATAACACAACACATTTTTCTTAGAAAAATAATGGATATACATATTTAGGTTATCTAATATTAGTAATACTTTAACTAAATTAATTTTTTAAATTAATTTTAGTATCATTTTACTAATTTTAGTAATTAATTTAATTAAACAATTATGATTATACATATAATCATACATCAAATTAATTTTTTTTTATTTCATTTATACTAAGACCGTAGTTATTAGTAACTATTGTCTTTATTGTATTTTAATTATGATTACATAACTTGTACAAGATGAGTATACAATTAGTTATATATATAACTTTTGGTTGTCTATTTTAAGTAGTTTGTCTATACAACAGATTCTACACTAGCTACTATATCTGCAATCTACTAGGAGATTACCTATTTAAACACTTTGATATTTATACTTATACTGACAAATAGTATACAAGTTTCTATATCTCTAAGTGCTGTCTAACCTAACTGTGACCTTCCTGTCTGTATATCCATCAAGCCATTATATATTTAAGAGTATGTTACCTGAATGTAGAGTTTCAGTGAGCCTTTCTACTAACTAACTACTTATATTTAGTTTCTTGTTAATAGGACTCACCTTTGCAGAGTTTACTCAAATCCCAAAATTAATTTTATAGCTACTTATTGTATACTCCTATTTTTGATCTCAAACTTTCAATTCAAATAGCCTGATAAGACTATGACCTGTTCCTGGTATCCTAGAATCTGACCTCAAAGGTTCTTTTCCTTTGTTTTGAGACTTCTGATAGCCTGTTTGGTAATATATCTCATCTAAGTTTTTTATCTGTCAGATTCTTTCTATATTGGTATCTGTTTTCTAGATTTAGTTTTTACAATAGTACTGTTAAAGATCTGTGTTACCTCTTTACTCAGGTCTTTCCAAATAAGCTTCAATTTCCTATTTCATAGATTTATATAACTATAAAGACTTGTTTTGGGTTTGTATTGACTAATACTAGTTTGCATTCCTTTGTGTAACTCTAATATTATGCAGATGCTGGTGTGATCATGTTATAGATACTAATTTCAACTGATTGACAAAATGCTGTTGTCATAATATCATTTATTTCCTATAATACTGATATAACATAGATGGTTTTTTAAATTTTTATTATCAGTAGGTTTTGAACTCCTAATTTATTACTTGAAAATTAACAATTTATCACTTTACTAAGTTACCACACCTATTATTAAATTAATTAAATAATTAAATTAATATAAATTATATGTTATACAATTATTAATTATAAATTTATTAATTACAAATTTATAATTTAATTAATTTTAATTAAAAATTTATTTATTAATTTCTGATTAGGATTAATTATTTATATTATGAAATACTTGATGTGAGTATGCTAATTTGTTAATTAATTTTAATTAATTTTATAAATAATTGTACATAAATATATTGTACTAAAAATAGATATTCACAATTAAGATTATTATTTAAATTAAACTGGTTTTAAATTTAAAGTTTTAAAATAACATATTACAACTTGGAAATGTTAATTATCTCAACCAAAATCTATATTTATGTATTAGTAATCAAATTTTTTAAATTTTGAGGTATTTCATAAATTTGTCGCAATATTATTCACTTATTTCCCAGTTCTTATTTATACTTCCATACTTTTCTTTTATGCTTATTGCCCAGATTTCAGATCTGAGCTGATCCAGAGTTTTTATTTCTCTAAACTGGGCTAAAACTTTTTTAGGCCATAACTACATATACTAATTATCAGAACCAGGTCGAATACTTTATTCAAATTATGTGCATTTAAAATTGTTCGATTATAGTCAATTATTTAAAAGTGTCAATTCGGTTCTAGTTAATTATTTAAAAGTGTCAATTCGGTTCTAGTCAATTATTTAAAAATGTCAATACTTTGAAGTAAAATTATTTAGAATTGTTCGAATTGGTCCAGTTCCTTTTTTTAAATTATAAACAGTTAAAATTCTATTGAACAGTACCAGACAATTACTATAGCAATAACTTCAATAAATTTTAATTTGCGAAAGAACTCAAATAAAAAATATCGAAGAGAGATGTAAGCTAATACAATTGATTTGACTTTATAATGTTTTCCATTCTGTTGCTTAATATCAGCAAAAAATTCAAATAGTTCATGCTCAAATTGTTCTTTATTCGCTAATGTTTGGGTTTCATATAGTATATTTTTTTTCTTATGATAGTCTTGTAAAATTCGAATCTATTTTCGGATACAAGAATCGGTATTTTTGATTTTTTTAAGTATCGTTGAATATTGTGTTAATACTTTTATGTTCTGACATATTTGATATAATATTCTCTTCGATTAATTCATGAGTTGAAATAAAATGAAAGTTTTTTCGATTTAAGAAGAACCTTTTTTTTTTTTAGATCAAATTCTTTTTATATAAAGTTTAAATTATATGAATTACGTTACTTTTAATTGAAAGAAAAATATAAAAGTATAATTAGAACCTGGGAATAAATCAGTTATTATCTGTAAAGCAGACATAACCAAAAATCCAACCCAGATCAGATGATTGGATAATGACGGAATGGCACACTGGCTGCTTCGCAGCTAGTGGCCATTCCGTCATTATCTGATCATCTGATCTGGGTTGGATTTTTTGGTTATTGTCCACTTTGTAGACAATAACATATACTTATTAACTCTTTAATGGGTTTGGGTTTTTATAATTAATAGTATATTTATCTTACTTTATGCATATTTATCTGTTTTTCTAACTTTATATGATAAATTCTTTGTATGTAATTATTGGTTTGTAATCTTCTTTTAGTGAAGTTTTCTTTTGTCTTCTAGCAGTATTAAAATGATAAACATTTTAAAAGTTATGTAATTTTATTAGTTAATTATCTTGATAAACTGGTTATAATTATAAATGTTAATAAAATTAATAAAATTAATAAAATTAAATATAGTGTGATACTGGAATATCAGACCAATCACATGAAAAATGCACATACTGTAATAGGTACAATAAGTGCAATAAGTGCAATAAGTTACATTTAAGATCAGAAACAGTATTTTGGATCCAAAGGGGTAGATAGGGAATAAGGGAAGGAAATAAAGGATATTAAATAAATATGTGTAAATAACTGTAATTAGTTTTAATAGGTAATAAGTGTTAAGTATTATAAGTAAAGGCTGAAATGGCCCTTAGGAGCAGTATGCTTCGTTTGCTTTATTAAATTATAAGTCCCAATACATTGTACATAATAAACTCTAACACTATTATCATTACAAACCCCATAAAACTTTGTTGTTAATTCGAGTTCTTTATCACGTGACTTACCCTACTTGTACTCGTTGACCCAAAGTAATCGAATGCCTTAATCACCCACAAGCCAAATCTAACACCCTCTTTCGTAAAGGTTACCTACCGTATATTACACGAGATTTTGAATTGCGGAGCGACCGAGTCGCACTTTTCAGAACCCAACAATAGCGATAGGAGAACTTATGACGAAAAAAGTTTCACCTGCAACTCTATCTGAAAATCCATCTTCCATTCCTGGTTTTGCGCAACTACGTTGCGCAGCTACTTATTTATATCTTGACTTATTATGGCCGCACCAGATCTTAGCCATCTCCAAACAATAGATTAATTAAATTTATAACTTCCATCAAAAAAGGGATCAAGGCAAAATCGGAACGATATCCTTTATATATTTAATTGATGAAATTTTCAATAAAAACAAAAGAAACATTAATTTAAAAATAGTATCATTTACCCTTAATAACAGGATATTTCAGTATTAGTAGGTATACTTTGATTCCATCGAAATAAATTATACGGATCATATTCCCGTTTAATTTTTACTAATTTTTCGAAATTTTCGCCATAGTATCTGCATTGCCAATTATCCAATTGTTTATCATTTATATTTTGATAACTTTCAAAATTGGCATATCTTCGTTGAAAATGATGTGAAAAATTTTCTAATTCCTGTATACACGTTTTAGAAGTCACAAATATTTTAATTTCTATGTGGTACAAAAAACCTCTGTGGACGAATGCAGTTTCTTTTCGCTTAATCTCGTTAACTCTTCCACCACCAATTAGCAATACATTAAAGTGTAGATGACATTTTAAGCTTTCTACAAACCTCATTATGTACCTAACTCCTTCATAAGATATCCCAGTCGAATCAATAAAGAAAGATTTTACTTTAAAAAAGCCAGCTTTAGGTGGATCGAATCCATCAATAAGCATAAGTACGTTATACGATTCATCTTCAGTGTATGACACATTTTTAGGTTTAGACAATTTAATAAAGTCTTGTATATAAGATTGTAATTCATATACAGATCCTAGATAAACCCCATAAACATAGGTTGAACGTTGTGAGATTCCCATCTTGGTCAGTAATGTTAAATTCTGATAAAGATTATTCCCTAGCTGATTAACTACTGAGAATACTAATGGAGTCTGATCAAAATCGTATATAAAATGAAAAAAGGTTGCAATTTTCTGGATCGGATGTATTCTAAGGGTTAAGGCTGTAACAATACCATAGCCAAAATTTCCTGCACCTCGAATAGCCCATAAAAGTTCTGGGTATTCTTTAGCATTGTTAACTACTGTCCCATTTGCTAAAACTATTTGTGCATCAAGAATATTATCTGATGACATTCCAAATTTTCGATTGAGAAATCCCATTCCCTATTTGAAAAATATTATAATCTTTGTAATTTGAAATACATTAAAATTTTCATAAATACTTACTCCACCTAATATAAGTCCACCAACTCCAATATTAGAACAAATTCCAGCTGGAAATGCAAATGAGAGCTGACTTAATTTGTAATGTAGTGATTCTAGTATATTTCCTGTCTCGACTATAGCAATTTGTGAAGTTGTATTGACGGTAATTTTATTAAAGTTTACAAGATCAACGACTAAATAACAATCTTTATCTCCAATACTATAACCTTCATAAGAATGACCGCCTGATCTTGCAACTATAGGAAAATTCAATTTTACTCCACATCTAATAGTATTTTGAATGTCTAATATATCTACTGGATGAACAAATGCTACTGGGAAATAAATAACCAATCTATTATATTCAAATTTAATATCTTTATTATAGTCAACAAAGTCATCACGAAAGTGGACTGATCCTTTAATATAATGTTGGTCAAAGCATTTTCGAAGGGAATCTTCTTGTGGGCATTTATTAACCGGAAGATGAAATATGGTAGCATGAATAGCTGTAATTAATAAAAATATAATGTATACATATGAAATCATTTGTTGCAATTTTAATCTTTTTTTTTTTTAAAAAAAAAACCAAGATAGAAAATTAAATATAATATATTTGATATTATAAAGAAAATTTATTTAGAGTATATAGAGGCTGTGCTGCATTTGAGCGCCAAATTCTGATTATTATTTATTATTTACCTGACTTAGCCTTATCAGATATGAAATCATTTGTTGCAATTTTAATCTTTTTTTTTTTTAAAAAAAAACCAAGATAGAAAAATTAAATATAATATATTCGCTATTATAAAGAAAATTTATTTAGATTATATAGAGGCCGTGCTGCATTTGAGCGCCAAATTCTGATTATTATTTATTATTTACCCGACTTAGCCTTATCAGATATGAAATCATTTGTTGCAATTTTAATCTTTTTTTTTTTAAAAAAAAAACCAAAATAGAAAATTAAATATAATATATTCGCTATTATAAAGAAAATTTATTTAGAGTATATAGAGGCTATGCTGCATTTGAGCGCCAAATTCTGGATTATTATTTATTATTTACCCGACTTAGCCTTATCAGAGATATGAACTTCACAGGTCAAGGTCAAAAATTTCATCAACGAATTAGCATAGGTTGATACTAGGTTAGTGTTATTAGCCGAATTCGAAATAGTTTTAACTAGTGATGGGAAAAATGCGATTTTATAATAACATGCGCATGAATGCGCAGGATATCGCATGATAAAAAAAAGGCAAAAAAGAAAAACGGTCGAGAGGAGAGAAATCTTGATGGGATAAAATGCGTATGAAGCCCATCTCTAGTTTTGACTTTCGCCAAAAAAAATGTCGAAATGGCAAAACTAAAAGGTGGTGAAACTGGAAAAAGGTAATGAATTTGGTAAAAGATGTGAAAACTAGTAAAAGAGGCAAGAATAAGAAGATAATCAAAGAAAATCAAAACTCTTATGTAATTATCATTCTTTTTACTGTATATATATTTAATATCATATATTATTCATATTAACTGCGCAGCCTCAAAAAATGCCTGCGCAGTGAAATACTGCGCAGTGTCCCATCTCTAATTATTACATTTCCGTTCAGCTGTTGTATCCTAAAGTACGAGGGTCAGCCGTGGTTATATCGTTCCATTATCCCGAAGGACTGAGGATAGTTGAGGCTAAACTTGTTGTTTAATTATCCGAAGTAGTGTGGTAATTGAAAATAAAGTTAGTAGAAAGCTCAAAAGAGAAAAACCCAAGACAAGTAAAGAAGAAATACTTACCTACGGACCCAAACCATCTACCAAATCTAAATGCCTCTTTCTGACTAAGCCAACCGAAAGGTAATGCAAGAATTTGGATTGTGGAGTGACTGACTCTCCGTTTAGACCTGATTTTAATAGATTATCTACTTTTATCTAATAGATAATTTTTAATACATCTATTAGATTATTCAAAACTATTATGTTATTTTGAAAATATTGTATATGAATTTAATTGTCAGAATAATATGATGGGCATAAGAATTATGATCAACAATTATTTTTTTAAAAAGCTTGTCTGAGACTTAGAATTAAATAAAATAAAACATTAGAAAATACTTTCTAGTAATAATAATATTAATAAATTATTTAGATATATATTATATTTTAATAATACAATGTTAAAAAGAAAGAATATTAATAATACAGTTAGACTTTCATAAGTGTATTTCTATAAGTGTACATGCTTTATAAATGTACTATAAGGCCCAGTTCCAAGCTAAAATTATAGTATTTTTTTCAATTTGAAGTAGCAATCTTGCCTGTATGTATTTATTAAGTAATATATAATTACATATTTATATACAATAGTCTATTAATGAAAGTATTACTAGTCACATATATAACTTTAGTTATTATCTAATTAAGGATTCTCTTATAGGTACCTACTAGATTCTATATCTGAGACCTGCTTCTGAGTTCTCTATTTAAATTTTCTAATTTTTAATATATATTGCATATATTGTTGGGTTTAAAAGATTGCAACTCTGTTACTCTACAATTCAATATATCATGTAATATATGATAAATAACCTTTTCAAAAGAGAGTGTTAGATTTGGCTTGTGGGAATTAAGGTTTTCAGTTACTTTGGGTCAACATATACAAGTAAGGTAAGTCATGTGTATAAGGGCTTGAACTGTGACATTATAGGGGTTTACAAGGTTTGTAATAATAATAGTGTTAGTGTTTATTATGTACAATGTAGTGTATTGAGATTTATTATTTAATAAAGCAAATAAAGCATACTGCTTTTAAGAGTCATTTTGGCCTTTATTTATAATATAAAATTCATCACTTACAAATACAATATATTTATTAAAACTAATTAAACTATTTACAAGTATTTATTTAATATCTGTTATTTTCTCCTTTTATTTTTTTCTATCTCTTCAGATCCATAATACCATTTCCAATCTTAAATGTAACTTATTACACTTATTACATTTATTACACTTATTGTACTTATTGCATTTCATGCATTTTTCACATAGTTAGTTATAATATCTGATATCACAATATATATAATACTTATATTACTATTATAGTAATATATCAAGTTAGAGTTATCTTAATTACTATTTATATTAAAATATCATTTCATTGGATATTACTAAGTATCTACAGTATATTTTTTTAAATTTACTTTAGATACAAACTTACAAATATAATACCAAGATTATCTCTTAGATTTATCTAATTTTAGTATATTCTATATTTACTAAACTAGTATTAGTACTAGAAATATTTGAATTTTATAAGTTTATTTTTTTTTATAGATTTTTTTATATTCATTATATTACCTACTAATACACATTCTCTCTATTTCTAATATATTTACTATTTCTTTTGTATTGAACACTAACTCTTTATATTGAAAAACCTCTTTTTAGAAACTTTTTTGTATATTAATCTTCTATTTACATAGACTTAGGTACAGAGTTTTACATACTTCATATACTTCTATAGATTATAGAGTTTTGCCTTTAGTAAGAATTAAACTGTTAATTTTGTCTGTAAAAAAAAGATATTTAGACTATTAAACTATGGAACCCTATCTCTAAAACTATAGTATTAAGTATATATCCTTTATATTTTATATATATATTTGATTTTGTATTAAATATCTTATATAGATTTTATAAGTTTATTATTATTATATAAAAAATCCAAAAAGAAAATCTAGTTTTAATACTATAATAATTTTAAATTATTTAAATTTATATCTAAATTATATAGAAATAAGTTAGTAGAAATGTATCAAATTTTTATTAAATAAATTTTTTTAAATTTTTTTTTTTTTTATTAATATAATATTTAAGTAAAAACTTTTTATATATAGATTCATAGATTTTAAAATTAAAGATTTTTAAACTACATTTGTGTTATAAGTTAATATCCAATATGACATTATATCTTCTATTTCTTATAAGTGCTATAGCTAACTATTTCAAATTAAGTTCTAGCTAGGATAGGTTGAAGGAAACCTTCAAGTAATTGTTTTAATATTATTAGATATAAGTAGTTAGTGAATAACCTTGTATGAGCCATTTGGTAATAAAGAAATTAGTATTTATAGTTTGAGAAGAGATTATTATATTATTTGAAAAATTTAGTGATGTTGGTAATAAACTTTAGTGCATTTAGATTTTAATATAATGTTATAGGATATTTCTTATTGATATTGGTAAATGTTGCAAGTAGATCAGAGATCTTGATAAAACCAGTTTAATAGATTGTTTAAAAGCTGAAGTAGAAGGGTATCAGTTTGTTTATTAATAAGTGCTTTGATGCTTTCATAAGTAGTAGAAGTAAAGGTTTCAGTAATGATATATAATATATATTTAAGTTAAAGATTTGGTGTATTTAGTGTAAAATTTAAAAAAATATTTAATAATATTGTTGAAGTTGTGTTGGTAATTTTTAGTGATATTAGAGTATCTTGTATTGTATTTTTAAATAATTGTAGAATGTTTATAGTATTACTAAGAATGAAAATAAATAAAAGTATCTTCAGTATTTATACAATAGGAGCAGTTTGAAGTAGTATAGAGATATGTGTAACTAATATTAAGATTTTGCATAATGGGTAGGTTATTAGTAAGAATTTTGGTATAAAAAAAGTATTTTTATAAGTTATTTTTAAGTAAAAAGATAATTTTAAATTTTAATAATCATTTGATGTTTGTAATATTTTAAAAAAATTTTATATTTGACCATTTAATAATTTTTTAAATAATTATAAAGTTTTTAATGAAGGTGTTAACTTTAAAAGAAATTAAATAATTATTCTATATAAAGTGATTTGGGGTATTAAATTTTGAGTTAATTTTGAGAATAAGTTTTGTAGTTTTTTGTTTGGCAAACAAATCTGCTTGGTTGTAAAAAGAGTCTGTAGAATGTGATTTAACTTTGTGAAAAGTAGTAGTAATATTTTTAAGATATTTAAGCTAGTTAATATAATGAATAATGTTCTAATTTTTAGTTTGTATAGGTTTGGAGTCAGTGATTAAGTCCAGATTTTGATTGCAGTTATATTATCAATATAAATCTTTAAGAAGATGTTAGATTGAACTGTAAATAAAAGAATAAGAATTGCTTTAAGTTCAATATGGGTTGAATCAGAATATAATTGTATAGTTGTATTGAATTTTATAAATATATTATATTTACAATCCATTCTTTATCATATTTAGTTTCTGAAGTTTGTAAATTTTTGATTGATCTATCAGTATAGAAAAGTAATTTATCTGTATTAAGTTGAATAATAAGGTGATTTAGATTAGTTAGTTATTTTTAGTATAATGGTGTATTGATAAATTGTTGAATAAGTTAAGCTTCATATGATAAAAGTGATATTTGTAGTTTTATTAATAAAGTTGAATGAATAATAGTAGTATTGTGTATATGGATCAGAGCTAGGATTTCTTTAAAATCAATTTGAATAGTTATAGAATCTTTTGATTTGATAACTGAGTTATAAAACAGAAAGAATAAATAAAAA